ATTTCAATGGAATCTAATGGATATCAATCTAAATGAGTATTGTTAATGATGATTCCATTTATAGATAATTTAATTTCAGGTCGGATTCGGATAAAATCTGCAAAGATAAGATTGGGTTTTAGAGAAGGTAATGGATAATGTTCTATGATTCCCATTGCCCTACCAGTTATGCAAGGGTTTTATATTTTTCATGTCTCAAAAAGTAAATCTACTTGGAGAAATTCATTTTTTACCATATGCTTTGGATTTTGAGACCAATCTACTCGGAGTAACAATTGTTAGAGCAAGTGAAGCAACAACTATCTTAGCCTATCATGTCTGTGACGGCGGAGGTTTTGGCCAAATTCTGGTTGGCGCAGCAGAGAGACACCCGTTGTGGTGCTCCATTGTCTAATTCTCCTCTTTTTGTCAGAGCCATGTTTGCAAATACCACTAAAACAGCTCGGATGATGGTGGTGTGCCGTTGCAGTGTTGGAGACCAAATCTTCTCTGTCACACCCTCTACTAATTACGAGTTTGATTATTTAGGACAGAGCACTAAAGGGGATTTGAATCTTAACTTCGACCATCTTGACGCTTTTGGTATATCTCTCTCTTTTGCAAATTCACATGTAGGAATTGCTGTCCGCAAACAATGTCTGATTGCGTGTTTCTAGTGATAATTGTTTTTTTTTTTTCGACTTGTTTGTTAAAGCGTTGCACTTTCTTGTACGTTTCTAGTGATAATTGTTTTTTTTTTTTTTACCGACTTGTTAGTTAAAGCGTTGCACTTTCTTGTACATTCCATGCAGGAATGGATGGTCCGGCAACTTTACAAGGTCCAATTGAGGAGGTTGCTATGAAGGAGGCAGAGGAAGCTAAGGATTTGCTTAATGACTTGGGCATTTCGGTAACCCTTCTTTCCCTACCCTCTTATATTCTGTTGCTTTTCCAATGAAATGATCATAATTTATCCTCAAGATTCTCTTTATTACTGTTTTCACATTTTTGTTTGCTGCTTCTTGTGCTCAATCTTCGATTTTGATTTATTTATTTGTATTAACCCCTTCTGCTTTACTGAAATGTATTTACATGTGGTTTCTTAATCTAATTGAGAACAGCGCTTTGCGGTTTCAATCTGTGAACTTCAATGCTCTTCCATTCCTGTCCTTGATGTCTACCAACTTTCGAGTTTCTCTTGTTAAGGTTCATTGTTCTAATATCATCAGATGTTTTTCAGAGTCCCTCTTCAGCAAGGAATTCATCCCGAGGTATATTTTGCAGTCGTACTTTAAATCTGAGGTCAATTAGTGCCATTGGATATGACATGGACTACACTTTGATACATTACAATGTGAAGGTGAACGGCACTTCTTCTCTCAACATCTATCCATGATTAGAACATCAAAGAAATAAAATTCTATCAATTCTACTTGTTTAGTTAGACTCGTAGTATTATATGGATTTGATCATTTGAGTTCTACTGGTGTGTATTTATTTATACTACTGCAGGCCTGGGAAGGGCGGGCTTATGATTATTGCTTGGGAAATTTACGAAGCATGGGTTTTCCAGTTGATGGGCTTGCATTTGATCCAGACTTGGTAATTAGAGGTCTTGTTATAGACAAAGAGAAAGGCAACCTAGTTAAAGCAGATCGGTTTGGTTATGTAAAAAGGGCAATGCATGGCACCAGAATGTTGTCTACTCAAGATGTCAGGTGTGCTTTGAACTTTAAACCTCTTCATTTTGATTATTGACAATCCTCTTGATGGCATCCAAGGTGTATGCTATATTGCAATGATGGATTCAACTTCCCATTCTTCACCAACAGAGTATAATGTTCTATTCTAATCACACACCTGCTGCTAACATATAGGACGGCAAAATAAGCTTTTCTTGAGTCCCTTTTTATCCCTGTACGTAGTTGAACATTGCTATTTGATGGTGCATATATAACCTGCACTGCAGTCTGCTTGACCTATGATTTAGCTTCTTCAACATTTTTTTATTTGATTTGGTATAACTCGAAAACACCGGTGTAGTATTTTCCATAGTGGTGCTTAACTTTCTATGCATGGAAGTGAGATGTATGGGAGGGAACTGGTTGATCTGCGGAAGGAGAATCGATGGGTGTTCTTAAACACACTGTTCTCTGTTTCGGAAGCTGTGGCATACATGCAGGTGAACTGTTTCAATCCATAGAAATTTTTGCCAAACTATAATTCTTTTCGTTCACTTGCTGTTGAGATGTTTTGTGGCAAATAATTTGTTCTTTCTATTCTCATGGATCTTTCTGCCCCCAACTATTTCTGTTGGTTTTTCTTTCTCTTGACTAGGTAAACAATCATGTATACTGACATTTGAAGCAAGCTTGCATGAGTATGTGACAATGGTTTCTAATTTTCAACCCACATTTTAAAGTACTGCCAAACTTTAATAAAAATAGTTGGAAATTCATTCAGAAGATGAGAAACTTTTTGAACTTTCAGATTTATCTTTGATTAATAACTTAAACATTGGTGTGAGAGGAAAGGAAACGAAAGGAGGAGAGAGCACAAAACAATTAGCCATCCAAGATGAATTAGTTATACCACAATTTCTTAATTTTTAGTGGTGAGAATTCTTCAAGCACAGACATAATGTACCCTGGTGCGTTACACATCCTGTTGTGTTAAGGGAAAGCTGTATGGAATTATGAATTTCCAGCTGACTGACAGGGCTGGTGCTTGACCATAAATTTTATTGTATTCCATAAATTTCATCATTAATTGATGCCCCAAAAATAGTAGCCCCTGAACATAGAGCATAGGATAAAATGTGCCCTTCTATGGTTTCTATAACTAATTTTAAAATTTTTCGCAAACTATATAAACCATGAGACTGTTTGATTAATCCTTGTTCTTTTGTGATTTTGGATATTTATCATTTCATCACTTTGAGAGCTAGAGCATTATGTCAAGAAAGGCCAAAATGCAGTCTCTCTTCTCGAAGGGACTCTACCTCCGTTATTGTTATTGTCACTTTCGTTGTCTTTTATGAACCATCTATTCACTGTATGCAACATTTCATTTGCTCGTGTAAAGCGACAGCATGTTAATCTTTGGTAGCCTTGTCTGATTCCACTTCCAGATGGTTGTTAGATATGATGAAGGAGCTATATCAGCCGAAATATGCCCACCTGACTATAGAGGACTTTACAAGGCATGTTTTGTAGATTATCAATTGCAACAACTAAATTGTCAGTAGGTATTTGTGTACTTTTCTTTTTATACTTAACATGATTTTCAGGCTGTTGGAAAGGCTCTATTTCGGGCACATGTAGAGGGTCAGCTTAAGGTAAATATATTAATGGGAATTCATTTTCCATTGCTTTGGTAATTTGGTCCCCGAACAATTTACTGATTGATGGCACTTATACAGAGTGAGATAATGTCAAAACCTGAATTGTTTGTGGAGCCTGACCCAGAATTACCTTTAGCACTGTTAGATCAAAAGGAGGTATTTCTTTGAACTCGTCATCTTTGATTAAGCACAACAGTATTACGATTTTATACTGGGTTTGGAGATTTTTGTATGACAGGCTGGTAAAAAGCTGCTACTCATTACAAACTCTGATTATCATTACACGGACAAAATGATGAAGCATTCATTTAACAGATTCCTACCAAATGATATGGGCTGGCGAGATCTGTTTGACATAGTGAGTATGCCTTATTTGTCAGCCTTACTTCATGGAAAGTGACTACTCTCCTCTAAGTCTCTTAACAGAAGGCTCCTTGAAGTTAAAGGAGTAACTTGTGCTAGACTTTCTTTCTTCCTAATAACATATTACAAGTATCATTGGCATGACCAAAATTGAAAGATTCTCACCACCTTCCTTTCCCTTTTACCATACCAGTCCCAGGCTTAGACTACTTGAATTGTTTACTCACAACATTAAATCGTTTTCTTTGTTTGATTTTATGTTCAAGATATGGATCTTCTCGACTTTGATGA